CCCCCCCCACTTTGCCTCCCTCCTCTCCCTTTGTCACTTCTCCGCTCCCCCCTTGCCTTCGCCGCCCCCCCCCATCCTCCCGTCGTTGTCCTCGCACCTCGCCCGAGTGCGTGTGCGGGTGCGACTCTCCTCTTCCCCACCTCCCCCGGGCAGCGTGTCGGCCTTTCACCGGCACCCGGTCCCCCAAGCAGGCACGTGCCGTCTTGGCACCGGCTTTCCCGGCCCTTGTGTCCTCCCGGTGCGGCTCAGCCCCCTACCCTCCTGCACCGGGACATGCTGCTCCGGCTGCTGTACCCGACATCGGACTCCTACGATGACATCTCCTCGCTGGAGTACCTGGTCGCGCACTCGTCCTCCACCACCAGCGAGCTCTTCCCGGCCGAGCCCCAATCACCCGGGATCCACACCGCATATGGCCCGGCCCGAGTCCAGCAGGCGGCGGCCGCGGCGGCAACCTTTGCCCTCGAGCCGGAATCCGACGCGTCGCGCTGGCGCTGTGCCGTCATCTCGGCCGTGGTCATCGGGCCGGATGTCTTGCTGAATCCGGCGGCCACCCCCCGGTCTGGCGGCGGCGGCGGCGGCGGCGGCGGCGGCGGCGGCGGCAGCACCTCACCGACCCTCATCCGGCACCGGTCCCGGGCATCCTCCATTTGCAGTGACTCAAGTGGGCGGTCTTTGGCCACCCCGACCCCGGGCCCCGGGTCACCGGTCCCTGGGATGGCCGGATCCCCGCGCGCCGACCCGCTGCCGGACCTGGGCCCCCCGCTGCAGTCACCGCACCAGCACCACCACCTGCAGGCACATCAATTGCTGTTATCGCCCACTTCGCCGGGGCCAGGGGCCGTGGCCGCTGCCGGGGGCCGTCGGGCCTCCTCGGCCTCCGGCCGCTCGGTCGGCTCGGCTCGCAGCCCTCTCGGTGGGTCTCGGGACTGGGGCCTTGCCAGCGATCCGGCGGCCCGGGCAAAGCCCCGTCGGCATCGGTGGATCGCCGTGGTCAAAATGGCCGACGGCACACAGCAGACCATGTACCTTCGTCGGCCGGCATGCGCACGCATCGAGCGCCTGATCTTGTCGCTTGCCGAGAATGATGACCAGCGCCGAGCGCTGGCCGCCTCCTCCGGCCGTGCTACTGGCCGGGTGCCTCATGGCTGCCCGCCGCCGGTGACCGGCATGGAGCAGTCCCCGCCGAGCTACCTGCACCAGCTGACCGACTTCCTGGCCAGCATGCCGGATAGCGGGGCCAGCAATGGCGAGGCACATCCCCTGGTGCGCCTTCGCCGGCAATATGACGCATGCGTGGCGGCCGCCACCGGGGCCACCGACACCGACACCGACACCGACAGCAAGGCCCCGGCTTCCTCCGGGCCGGCCGCTGCCCCACTCACCATGGACGATGGTGCTGGTGGTAATGTCAGCATCATCGGCGATCGATCGGCCGCGGTGGCAGGCTCCGGGCCGGTCGGCAATGCGACTGCCCCCGCAAGTGCACCTGTCCCGGCGCCATCCGGGCGCGACGAGCACCGCCGCACTCAGCCGGCGGTCCTGAGCAAATTCGGCCGGCTCTTTGGCATCCTGACCACCGATCCCGGGAGCGAAAGTGACGACGACCAGATCCCCACCTCGGTGGCAGCGGCCCCCTCCCCGGCAGCGGCCACCACTCGGCCAGCCCAAACCCTGCGCGACATCCAAGCCGCCAATGCCGCCACCGCGCGGCGTCTACTCCAAAGCCTGTCGCCCTTCCATCTGTCCACCGAGCCGGCTACCCTGCTGGATCCCGACTGGCAGCTGGTCGAAAGGGACCAGGACTCGGTGCCCTTCCTGCCGGCGTCCCAGGCACCCGGGCAATCACTGCGCCTGGCCCAAAATGAGCTCCTGGACTTGACCATGGCACATGTGGTATCGGGCTTGCGTCTGCCACAGACGCATTCCCTGTGGCTGGCACAGTCAACCAGCCGGCGAATCAGCCAGCAAGCCCGGCGTCTGAACCAGTCGGTGGCCACGGCACAGACGCGTGTCGGTCGCCTGGAACGCCGGTTGCGCCTCCTGCGCGGGGCCTTTGTTCGGGTGATCATCGGCTGCTGCTCGTCCACGGCCTTCCTCGGGGCCGGGAAGCCCTGTCCATACCGGCCGTCGCGGTACTTCTCCCGGCGGGGTGCTGGCGCTGGGGCCGGGCGCCGGCGATCCATCGAGGCCATCCTGCAATCATCGCAGCAGGCCAATGCCACAGCGCATGCTGGCGGCGCCGGCCGGCCGCGCACCGCCCGGCGCGAATCCATCCTGGACTCCACCGAGCTGGCCGAGCGAAATGCCTGCACCCGGGGCCCGGCCCTGCGTGGGGCGCCCATGGGGCTGCTTTTTGCCATGTTGAGCCGCCGGTCGACCGCTGGCACATCGCCGCGTCTGGTTGATCTGGCTGGCGGCCAGCCGAATGACCTGCTGGTGGATGCCGGGACCTCCTTGGACACCGACATCGACGAGCTGAACACCCTGTTGGAAGCGGCACAGGGCGTGGTCGACGGCCTGCGCGACCGGTCGGCCCCCATCAGCACCGGGCCCGGGCGAAGTGCCATCCCCTCCCCGGGCTCGCGCTCTGGACGGATCCGGCCCGGCCGCGGAACGGTCTCCGAGGCAACCACCCTGACTCCGGCCCAGGCCTGGTGGCTGCATTGTCTGTGCGACTGCATCACGCTCACGCTGTCGGCCAAGATCGACGGCCCGGCCCTGGTGTCGAGCCTGAGCCTGGATGAGGAGGACTTCATGGCCCCGGGGCGCGATGGGGAGACCGTGTGCTCGCGCGAGGCGGCGCACCTACTGTCGCTGGCTCGCCTGAAGCGGGACCTCATCTTCCGGGCGATTCTCGTGTATCAGGAGGCTCGAGCGGCCATTCGGACGGAGCTCCGCCGCCGGGCGACTCCCGGTGCCGCTGGCACCAGTCCCCTGGGCGGGGTGGGTGCTGGCCTCGGCCCTGGCTCCGGCTCCGGCTCCGGCTCCGGCTCCGGTTCGGGCCCCCCCTCACCACGGCGCTTGTCCCCGGCGGGGGGGCCCACCGCCGGGAGGCGCCCGGCAGCCAATGACACCAAGCTCATCGCCTCGCCACAGAGGTCGCCTCAACAGCCCTATCAGTCGCAGGGCTCGCAGACGTCCCAGCCGTCACAGCAGTCCCCCTTGTGGAGCATGTTCTTCGATCGTCGAAGTGGTGGGTCCACCACCACCATCAGCAACAGCGGCAGCAACAACGGCAGTGGCAGCTCGACGCCCTCCGCGGCATCCTCTCCCGCACTCCTGCCCGATGCGCCATCGGCGCTGGTCGCTGGTGGGGCCCCGTCGGATCGCGGGCTCACGCCTGTGCCCAGCCTCAAGAAGACCCTCTCCGGCTTGCAACTTTTCTCCTCTTCACAACCGCCGCCGCCGCCGCCGCCGCCGCCGCAGCCGGGCGCCAGCGGGTCGCTCAATCTCCTGGCCAAGTCCCCGCCGGCCACCTCGACCAACCTGCTGCCCTTGAGTGCGAGCACCCGGCTGGCCATGGGAGGCGGCGCCTCGGCCGGCCCCACGCCACCAGGCTCGTCGCTCGGCTCGCCGGCTGGAATGTCCCCTGCACTGGGCGGGACTCCGATGCCGGTGGCCGGCCAAGTGGTCCCCTTTTCCCTCCCCCAAAAGTCCCCCCCCTCAACCAGCGCCTCGCTTCTGATCTTTTCCGGTCACCCCGCCTCGGGGAATGATCCCCTGTCGCCGAGCCAGGGCCAAGCTTCGAACCCCCCTGCGGCGACATCGGCACCGGCTCTGGTTTGCCCGCCGGAGGAATCGCTTCTCGCCGCGGCCTTGACCCTGCCGTGGGACCCTCCAGCGGAGATGGAGGCCTCCCCCTTGCCTGGCTCGCAGCTCCCGCCACCGGCCTACCTGGGCACCCAATCCTCCCCGGCCTCTTCGTCCGGCTCGTCCGGCTCTTCGAGCTCGAGCTCGAGCTTCGACTTTGATCTGTTGCGCCTGCTTCGTCGGCATCCAGCCCCGAATTTGTCCACCGTGCAGGAGTCCCCTCATGAGGTGGACCCCTTGGCCGGGGGGGCCAATGTCACGCGGTCGATGGGCATCCCCACCCCCGGGGGGGGAGCCTCGCTGACCGGGTCGCCGCTTCTGGATGCCGCCCTGTCCAGCTCGCTCTCGGCCACACTGGCGGCACGACCCCCGGCACCCGACTTGCCCACCCTGTCATCCTCCCTGCCGACAGCCATGTCACCGTCCTTTGTGCAGATTACGGCCGCGGCGGCGACCTCCCCCCCGGTTGAGGGGGAATCCGGGGCCGACCTGGCCGACCTGCCGGATCAACTGGCTCAGGCCGAAGTTTTCCACCCACTGGTGGATGACATCTTTGTGCGCTTTGTCACCTACCGGGAAGAGCTCCTGCGCACACGCAAGGCTGTCAACAATTTGCGCACCTCACTGGCCACCATGGCCACCATGGCCACCGAGATCAGCGGCGCCTTCGAGAGCCTGGAAGACGAAACCGATGTCGCCCGGAATCAGCTCGTGGCGCGCCAGCTCCAGCGCATTTCCTCCTCGGCCTCCTCACTTTCCGCTCCCGAGCCTGGGCCGTCTTCCGGCGAACGGGCACCGGCCTTCGTCACGGGGGCCACGCCCTCGACTCCGCCGCGACCCGGGGGCGGCACTGTCGACTGGGACCCGGCGCTGGATGAGTCGCGCTCCGGCACTTCAGTATCGGCCACTGGCAGCCCGCCATTGCCCTCCAGTTCGACGGGCCTGGCGGCCTCGCCGGCCACCGGCGCCACCCCTTCGTGCGATCCTGTGCGCTCGACCGACGAGAAGTTCTCCCCGATCAAGCTCCATCGCGGGGTGACCCTGGCCCCGCTCGATCCGTATGCCCTGCTGAGTGTGCGCGCCCCGCAACTGATGAACCAGGTTACCATCGCCGCCATTGCCAAGGCCCCGGACTCGGTGCTGTTGGCCGGGCGAAGCAAGCCCCCAATTCAGGGACCGCCGCCGACATCCAAGGCAGAAGCTGGCGTGCCTCCTTCCCCGAGACCCGAGGGCGTGGCAACGCCCCCCAAGTCGGGGGACCTGCCCCCGTCCCAAGTGCCCCGGGTGGATCATGCCCTCGCGCCGGCTGCCCAAACCCCCTCGCCGCCTCTCATGGCCGGCCGGGTGCTGGACTCGGCGTCCGGACGCCTGGCGCACATTCCCGCGCCACTCGCCGCAGTGCGAGGCTCTCCCTCCCCCCCGGCAATGGGATCACCCTCGGAGCCTCTGCCCGGGCATCGGTCACAGGACCCCGCCCCCACCTCGGCTGCCTCATAATCCCCGGGCCTCTGGCTGTTGTTGTCCGACCCCCCTCCGCCCCCTTCCTCCCTCTTTCCTTGGCCCATAACTCAGTATCTGGGCGCTTCATGCGATTTTGACTGCTCGCCGGCCGGCCGGCCATGCCCTCTTCATCCATGCACACCCTCTTCTCACATTTTTTCCCTTGACCCTCCTTTTGTCTAGACTAGCAAAATACATGTGCCTCCAGCCGCCTACTCTGCATCACCTTCGCTGCCAGGCTGGCCACTGCAAATGGCCTGCGCCAGTGGGCCGCCCACGCTGTGCAGCAGAGACTGTCTTCTGCTGCCGGGGGCAAATGCAAATGATCAAAGGGGGTGGAGGGGGAGGGGGGGCTTTCATTTGCCACCCAGTACATTCGGAACACCGGGTGGGCAGGTACTTGGCCGCAAATGACCGGCACATGTCGCTCAGAGCCCAAGGCCGAAGATCAGATCCGAGATCCGCTCGGCAGATGCCACAGCGTCAGACTCGACATCGGGCACTGATTTGGCCTGCGCCCATTGTAGGAGCTCTTGTGAGGCAGCCTCCAGATCTCGGAGATAGATCGTGTCACATTCTGTGATTCGAGGTGGGGCCAGGGGGTGCAAGGGGGTGAGGATCGCCGAAGGGGGAAAGCAAAAGAGAGGACGATCACGGAGGAAAAGGCAAACCAATGGGGGGGGGGGGGGGTGCGCCGGGAGGGACGGAAGCCCGCACATACCCTCATCAAGGCCGAGCCATTGGCGGACAATCCAAGAAACATACTGTGTCGGGTCGCGGGAAATGGCCGCGGTCATCGGAGGGCAGTCGTCTCTTCTGGCGGTGTCCCAGGTGCCGGGCTCCGGGGTGGACTCGATGTGCAGTGCCAAAAACTGCCCCAACGTTTCGAGGGCCAGGGCCGAATACGGGGACGTCTTGGCCTCGGCGGCGAGGCGATCGACAAACAGCCGCATTTGGGCCCAATCCCCATCGGCCAAGGCATGCAGCTCCCCGATGTACCGATATGCGAATAGGGAGACCTGAAGGCAAGACCGCCATCCCGGCACATGTGTCAGTGAGTTGGACACCCGACGAGGGGCACACAAGCAGAGGAGAGTGTGTGTGTGGGTGTGTGTGGGTGGCGGAATGCCATCGCGCGAACCTTCCCACGGGACTCGGAAAGTAAGCCCTCCAACGCGATGGAGGGGTGAATAGAAAAGGCGTGTGAAGCATGTCCCGACCCGGTGGACGACGAATAGGGACCAGTGCTCGACGATGCGGCAGGTGGGCTGAAGTATGACCGGGAGGTCTTCTCCGAGAAGAGCCGCACGAAGGCGCGCAACTTTTTGGCCAGCACATGGCAGTCCTTCCACACAGGATGCTTACTGCCTGCCAGCCATTGCGACTCTGGGGAATGAGCAAGGGGTGGCCTGTTAACAGGGGAGGACAGGAAGGAGAGGCGAGAGGGAGGGAGGGAGGGAGGGAGGGGGGGAAAGAAACACCAACAAACACAGAAGCACAGGAGCATAGGAAGAAGGGAGGAGCACGCAAGAAGCCGGGCAAAGACGCCGCGGACGCACCAGCAGCCACCAGGAACATGGGCTGCCCGGCCAGGGAGATGGGCAACTGACCGCCCGCTCGCCCGGCAAGATCACTAGCCGCCGGCCCCGGAGCTGGCCAGTGGATGTGGAAGACCACCGGCCCAGGGGCAATGGTCAATGGGGCGATCAGCGGCTGAGGTCGGGCGTGGGTCTCCCAGCAAGTCGCAGGGTCGGCCTGGGTCTCGGCCTCGGGCAGAGCGGCCGCAGGATCTCCCGCGCCCAGGCCGCCCAAGGAGGCGGCCTCCAGCGCCTGGCGATGAAGCGATTGCGACAGGAGTGAGGCGCCATCGCGTGGCCCACCGGGAGTGGGCATCGGCCCCGGCAGCACGGGGAGCGCATCTTCCGGCACACCGGCCTCATGGGAAGAACCGACACCGGTTGGCTCCATTGACTCACCACCGGCGAGGCCCAAACTGGGGCCAGGATCTGTGCCCGCCAGGGGGGCCGGGATTCCGGAAGGCTTTTCCGGCGGCGGCGGCGCCGGCGCCGGCGAGCGAGGAAGACGCTCGAAGGTGCAGTAGTTCCGCGCTCGCGCCGCGCAATTTGGCCGCCGGCTGTTCGGCGTAAAGTCGGACGTCTCGTCAAAGACAAAGGAAGAGTCGAGGATCTGATAGAAGCTACATCAGGCACCCCATGACCGACCGAGCGACATGAGAGGGGGGAGGGGGGGGGGGGTCAGAAACGGATGTCAACACAAGATGGGCGGGGAAGAGGACACGGCCGCCTCCAAGGCCGAAAGTGGGCTGGAAGGTGACGGCCCCCGGGACCGGGGGGGTTGTCCCTTCAGCAATGGGGAGCGGGAAGAAGAGCTGAGAAAAGTCGGTGAGGGGCTGCGGCTGCGGGTGGGGGGGCGACAGGGGGGGGGGGGGGGGGGGGGGGGGGCAAGAAGAACAGACGGCCAGGGTAGGCACCTCAAAATGTCCTGGAAGAGGGACTCCTCGGCGGCCTCGCGGGCCAGTTGAGCCAGGGACAGGTTTCGATGTCCGTCCTTCGAGGTGACGCCCTCACCGGCGGCCATGGCACGGATGACAATCGGCCTCCCGGAAAAGCCGGCATACAGGAGGGCACTGAGTGTGGCGGACATGTGCGCTTGGCAGATGACACGCCGGATGGGATCGATCTTTCGACCACCGAAAGGCAAGAGGGGTACAGGTGTCAGGTGTAGCGAGCGCAGGCGGAGGGTGTCGACATAGGGGGCGGAGGAGGGGGGCAGAGGGGCAGGGGGATGCTGGGAGCAAGGGAGAGAGCGCCAGGAGGAGGGGGGGGGGGAGGAGCAGCGGAGGCCTGACGCACACAGATATCGAACCAGAGGCCCGCCAGCTGGCGAACATGCTCAATCCGGTGATTGCGGCAGGGAGGCGGTCTAACCAGCGATCCGGCCGGCAGGCCGCGGTAGTATCGGGCCATGGTCGGGGCGGATGCCTCGGCCAGGAGATCCGAATGTTGGGCCACCAGGTCCACCGTGCTAAGGAGACCATCACCAAGGGCCCCGCCGGGCTGCATGGACAGGATGCGCGCCATGAGCGGGCTTAAGGTCACGCGAGAAGAGGCACCCTCGCCGCTGTTGCCGTTGCTGCCACCCTGGCGGATTGAGTGGCCATCCAGACAATCGGCATGGCTTTCGCTGGAGCCGGGCCAGAAGAACTTCCCCTGCTCAATGGCTGTCGGGTCGAGCTTGGCCTCCTCCTGCTGGGACATGATCAGCAGCTGGACAAGCAGGTCAGAGTACTCATCGAGGGACTTCCGGAATGTGTGGGCAGGTTGAGACAGAGAGAGTTAAGGAGCACCAGTGGGAAGCACAAAGGGAGACGCAAAGGGGGCGGGATCGCCCTCGGCAGCACAGAGGGGAGGCCCAGGCATGGATGTCGGTGCTCGGGGAAACCTCTCTGGCTTCCGGGGAGGGGCGGAGCCGGGGGCAGGAGGCCCGCGTGGACAGACACTAAGAAGGATATGGTTCGAGCTCGGTCGGCGAGGTGGTCTCCGAGAAGAAACAGATGATGTGGCCCTGACAAACGAAACCACGATCGGTCAGAGCACGCAAGAGACTCCCGGATTCGGTCGGCGCGTTGACCGACCGGATGAGTCGGTAGTAGAGAGTGGCCGAGTAAGGCAGCCCCCCGGGGCCCGGGTCGTCGTCCTGCGGCAGGGACTTGATGACGCTCTGGCCAACAGTCAAACCTCGCTCGATCTCCCCCACGATGAATCCCTTGATGAGGGCCAGTTTGACGAATTGCTCCGGCTCCGAGGGGTTCAGCGAAGTCAGGTACAGGTCCAGCAGGAAGTCCTCGCTGGCGGTTTGCGAGGAATCGAAGAGCTCATGCACCGAGCCAGGCTGTGTGGATGGGGGGGACTCGGTTGGGGGGGCTCCCAAGTGGTCCGTGGCTTCGCTGCTCGCCGGGGCGACGGCGTCGCAGGCCAGGCTGAAGGCGCTTGGCAGGTCCACGGGCCGATCGGCCGTCGACAAGGGAGCCGCCAGTTGCTGGTGCTTCTGCAGGTGCCGGTGCTGCAGCGGCAGCATGGCGCTCAGAGGGCGCACGGGGTTGTAGCTGAAGATGACGAATCGGGCATTGGGCGAGGCCCCGAGTGGGGCGGGGCCCTCAGACTCGGAGCGTGGTGGGAACTCATCCATCGCACCGTGACCGGGTCAGAGGGGGCTGGAGAAGAGGGGCCCGGGAGAGGATTGCCCGAAGAGAGGGAAGCGGGGGG